TTTACAGTGCAGAGCTGTTGGCAAAGCGTGAGGCTCCTGGCAGCACCTGGAGCACTGACACTGAGTGCTGAGCAGGGACAGCCCACCTGCAGCACATGGGCAGGGCATGGTGGCACACAGGGCCACAGGAGGGGGTCAGGGCTGAGGAAATAAGCAGCTCCTCCTCCAGCCATGGCTACACATGGGTTTGGAAACTTAGCGAAAACAAGGATGGAAACCTGGGGAAAACAGTGGCAGTGTGATGGAATGCATTGCTTGTGACACAGTGACTGCACCCTGAGTGCCCTGGCTTCATTGGCAGCCACAGGAGCACAGAATCTCCCGTTGGAAGGGACCCATGGGTGCTGCTGGGGGCACTGTGTGACCCCACGGGTCTCCAGGGAGCAGCATCTGCACAACGCCTGCATTTGGCTAAAGTAAGGCATTGTGGGGGCACTGCGTGTGGGTACCCTGACAGCTCTGCTGCTCAGCCTGAAAATCCCTCATGCTGCTCCTGGGTCACCGGGGCCACTTAAGGCAAAAGGTGAACGGACGGCTCGAGGCACCAAGCTCAGCAAACAGGTACAGGAGATCTTCAATAAACAAATACACAAAGCTCTGCTTTTGGCAACAGGAAAAGAGGAGAGCACCTCCTGCCAAGAGCAGGGCCCCCAAGTGCTCTCCTCGCCCCATCTGCACCATCAGGGCAGAGCTGCCGCTGGGCAAGTGCATGGCGCAGCCCCAGGGAACCAGGCCTGGTGGCACAGCACCCACTGCATGGGGTGGGGAGCACCAGGGGCTGAGATGGTCCCAAATAATGAAGATGGGGTGGGCCTCTGCTTGAGGGAGAGCTTCGGAGGGCAGCTGGAGGCGGTGGGAGCAGCGGTGCTCACCGAGGCGTGCTGCTCCTGCACCGAGCCGCCGCGTGGCTGCTGCTGTAATGCAGCTGATAGTGGGGCACTGGGGGGGTCTAACTGACAGCTACTCTCTTCCCAAAGCAGCTGCTACCTTTTTTTGGCAAAAGTCTTACAATACGAGCTTCTGGAGAATCATATTCTGCGTCTCAGAGTGGATTTTGGCTCAGACAAATCCTGTGCTTTCAGCAGATGCTGTGGGCAAAGCAATGCTAACCATACAACACCCCCACCCCAAACAACCCACGCGTGGGTCTGCCAGAACCCCGGCTGAGTTCGTCTCATCCAAAGCAGCGCAAAACCTCCCAGCCTTCTCCATCCCCAGCTGCTGGCAATGCCCACAGCCCACCCCTCACAGCCCAGAGAACGTGGCCATTCCTAACCCCGCTCCTCAGGTCTCCATGATAAACGCTGTGACGTGGAAACACTCGGTTTTAAGACGACGTCATTAGAGATAAGAAGCTCACTGGGAAGGTGTCAGAGCAGCAAGGGGAAAGGTGAGTGGGGCTGCACTGCTCGAGAAGCGGCGAGTGGAGGGAGGGAGCAGTGCTGCAGTCACAGGGCACTCATCCACCAGGACAGCACCTTCCAGTGCCATCCCCAACCTTCTGCTCTAAACATCCGTGACAACAGCGCTGAGCTGCAAGTTAAGAGTGGTTCAACCGAAAGCGGAGCCGCAGTGGTGATGTGAACACAGCAGGAGAGCCGAAACAGTGAGCAAGCACAGTGCACAGCTGTGCTTACAGAAAGAAAGGAAGGTCTCAGTAAGCACTGCAGAGCAGAGGGAGGAGGAGGAGGGCTGATCGGCCGCGGCGCTGCCGCCCTTGGCTTCTTCTATATGCAAAGTCCGAGGTGTAAAGCAAGAGCTCTGCAAAATGCTGAAGATTTTAGAAGAGCAATGGCAGGTAGAAAAGGACACTGGTCTTGTAACAGTGGCAGCCCCAGTGTTAGGAGACAGTCTAGGCTTCTAGGAGGAGAAAATAGAAGAGGGGAAAAGGAGGAGGAGAGGGAAAAGGGATGGGGAAAGGGGCAAAAAAGCGCAAGTCATTAGTAAACATGAACATTCAGGTAGCACACTGCACAACAAGCAACATTTCATCTCGTGCAGCCAGGACATTTGCCAAAAGCCAGATCAGATATGGCACAGTTTGCTTCTCCAGGTGTCTGTGAATGCAGCCCAGCCACGCTAGGGCACAGCGCCGCAAAGATCAGCCATGGTCAGACACCATCAGTGGCGCATCAGTGGCACATTGCTGCCAGGAGCAGCAGCTCAGGATGATGCTTACAAGCACAATTTGCACTGAAATCAGTGACAAAGCATTTCTGTGGCCCGACCTGAGAGAAAGACATGGGCCAGCCAAGAAGGGAGAGCGGGCACAGCCAGTGCAAGTCACTGCTCCCAGCAGGATCGCAGACAGCACCGCGCAATGAGCGCTGCTCCCACTCAGCCCTCTGATCACCCCTGATGGATTTCTTTCCATAAATTGGCCTTTCAATTTTTTTTTTTAACTATTTAATATAATTCCTTTGAACTTTGGGCAAATATCCCACATCAGGAGTTGCAAACATAGCGCTCTTCAAAGATCCCTTTTGTTTCTGTTTCAGAGCTGCTGTTAGTTTCACTGGGCACTGTGAACTTGTGCAGCCAGCAGTCAGGCACTGCAGCACTCACTGTGCCTCCCCACTCCCACACCATCCCACGTGCAGCAGGCATGCATGGCTGCTCCCCCAGCACTGCAGCAACTGCTGCTCCATTTACCCTTATAAGGAAATAGCAATGACTGCTTCCAGCTGCTGTACTGGGGGCCCAACTCACAGCTCCGCTCAGTAGCTCTTATGTTCTCCAGACCAGAGCAAAAGACGCACAGAGTGAAGAAACAATGTGCCAAGATGGAGCTCCCCAAAGAGCTGTCACTCTGCAGTGAGGCACTGGAACAGGTTGCCCAAGGAGGCTGTGGATGCCCCATCCCTGCAGGCATCCAAGGCCAGGCTGGATGTGGCTCTGGGCAGCCTGGGCTGCTGGTTGGCGACCTGCACACAGCAGGGGGTTGGAACCAGGTGAGCATCGTGGGCCTTTGCAATCCAGGCCATTCTATGATTCTATGATTCTCACCTCCGTGGCACACAAGTATTACTTTCAGAAATACTGACTTATGCACATCCCTACATCCATCACATAAATGCATCATGGTTACAATGAGAGCAATCCTGCAGTCAGGCTGTCCCCACCACATTCTGCTGGGATTTGGGGCAGTGAGCAGCGAGACATGGACAAGTCAACACATTCATTTATTGGATAGGTGAGAAGAGCAGCAACGCTTCCTATGCTCTAGGACTGGGGAGATAAGCAGACACCTGTATTCCCTTTCTGTGTTTCCCAGTGCTTCCCTTAAGTCTGTTTGGGAATCCAACGTGAGCACAGCACGCTGCTGAGCGCTCCCTGCAGCTCTGGGCACAGCCTTCTCCCAGCAGAAAGCTGCACACCACGAGCATCACCCTGCTCAGAGCTGCTCCTGTCCCAGCCCCACGGCATCACACAGGGATCACTGCAGCTTCAAGAGACAGCACAGGGAACAGAGCAGCCGAACACAAGAGAGCCCACAGTGCTGCCTGGACACAGAGCACAGACAGCAGCATTCGCTGTCAGTGGAGCCCGCTGACATCCACCACCACCCTGGGACAACCTCCCTGTGCTTCTGCATGGCTTCAGCTGCTCTTCAGCTCTACGGGAGTGAAAGTCTCCATTACCTGCCTTATAAGCAGCATTCATCCTTTGCTCTCAGATGTAGGAACATTGGTTTTTCTGCTATTTCATAAGGAAGAGCGTGGCGGGGAAAGAAACAGGGGAACAGCTCCGTTGTACAGACCTTGTGTTGTTCCAACAATGAACCTCATTAACTCGATGCCTGCCTCTGACACGCTGCCTCTGCTGCTTTGATGTCACTTTGTGACAGCCTTTACCAGGAAAAACAATCCAGCTCTGCCCCAGAAAGACGGGTGATACGAATAAACTGAAGGGCTGCAGACACACAAAGGTATCTTTGATCACAGCTGTTCACACTGAGTGCACAAGGAGTTAAACCTCCAGAACACTCATATTGAAAACGTAACAAGAATTCTTTTAAACCACAAATTCAGGAGTTCTGTAAAAATTCCCAACGCATTTCAATAGCCATACTTGCCATGTCCTACACCTGATTCTGTTATTTATGTGTTAAAAAGACAGAAGTGCTCCTTGGGCAGTTCAGGAGCATCCTTACTGCTGTGACCAGCAGGACGACACAAGTCATGGCAGTCAAGGCTGACTCCATCACAAAGAAGTGCCCTACTGGCTCTGTATGCAGCCCTGGAGTGCTGTGCTGCTCATCCTGAAGAGTTTGGCTGGAATTGGGTTGGAAATCTCACTGACAGAAGGGAGCAAAAGAGGGAACTGCTGCTTGTCACTAAAGGCAGCTCTTGAAAGACAACTAACTTCAGCATGTGACATGCTGACAGAGAGATGAATTATGTTCCAGGCTCCTTGTCAGTCTGGAATATTGGTCCACTTATCACAAGTTTCCTATGAAATAAACTATCCTTGTGCTGCTTGGGAGCTCAGCTCTGACAGCACACAGCCAAGGCCAGCACTAGGACAGAGTTACAGCAAGGCAGCCATGGAAGCACCCAAGAGAAGCTGCAGAACAAACAGCAGTTCTTAGTACTTCCATGAGTACTGAGCAGTAGGGGAAGGAAAGAAACATTCCCACCCGTCCCACTGGGAACAGATGCCATATTTTTCTGCTATGTTATGGTTAGGAGAGAGCTCTGCTAAGAATATCTGTGTTTCCTGGAAAGCCATTTGGGCAGCGGTGCCCTGGATGCCACCTTCCCACACTGAGTGTGGATAACACACAGAGCCCTCAGAGCACAGCTTCACGCATGGAAGCAAAATCCAACTCCAAACACAAGTTTTTGAGGTATTTGAAACAAAGGAGTTCATCTAAAAAAGACAAAATAAAACCAACCCTCTGCGGAGAAATACTTGACAAAGATGAGTGTGTTTGCTCACAGCGAGCTCTGACTGCTCCAAGGGCAAATGAAGACAACAGATTCTGTGCTGGCACTTACCTGGGCGGTGGTCTTCCATCCCATGGTCACCATTTTCTATTACAGTTGGCCCAGTGGCTGAAGGATCTGCAACAAAGCACAGGCAGCGTTAGTACGGCATGACCTCAATCCAAAAGGAGGGCAATGCCAACGTTATGAAACACAGAAGGACTTTTCCCCAGAATCATTTGGAAAAGAATTAAGGCACCCACACAGTACGGAGTCTGCGCCATGTGAAACCCCAAAAGAAGAGCCATGCAGTCATGGAGGAGCCCACAATGGAGTCCCATGGCACAGTGACCACTGAGAGCCACTGGGACGGTCAGAGGGCTGGAGCAGCTCTCCTATGAGGAAAGGTTGAGGGAACTGGGATGGTTCAGCTTGGAGAAGAGAAGGTTGCAGGGAGACCTCATTGTGGCCTTCAGTACTTGAAGGGAGCAGATAAACAGGAGGGGAATGGCTGTTTGTGAGGGTGGATGGTGAGAGGACAAGGGGGAATGGCTTTAAAGTGAGACAGGGGAGGTTTAGGTTGGATATGAGGAGGAAGTTTTTCCACCAGAGGTGGTGAGGCACTGGAACAGGTTGCCCAAGGAGGCTGTGGATGCCCCATCCCTGCAGGCATTCAAGGCCAGGCTGGATGTGGCTCTGGGCAGCCTGGGCTGCTGGTTGGTGACCTGCACACAGCAGGGGGTTGGAACTGGATGAGCACTGTGCTCCTTTGCAACCCAGGTCATTCTATGATTCTATGACCACTCACAGCACCAACCCAGGGCCAGCACCAGGCACCACGACCACAGGAGATATTCAGTGACACCTCTGGATTTCTATTCCTAGCCCAACAACACAGACCTCTTGTGCTACACTGCACAGAAGTGCTCGTTGCAAAGAGAAGGCTGCTTCAGTCAGTAGCCTGCCATCCTGACTGACTGACAGCAGTGCACAGGTTCAGGTGAACATCACAGGGCTGTTTACCTACATCCACAGAACCACTGAACACCCCAGGCTGGAAGGGACCCACCAGCATCACTGGGCCCAGCTCCTGGCTCCACACAGCACCACCCAAAATCCAAACTGCATTCTACCCTCAGCCCCAGGGATCAAAATATCACAGACATACATCACCCTTACAACAAGCACCAAATCCTAACATGTTTTCTGATTTCTTCAGTAAACTCTACTCAATTTGCCTGAACTTATTCTGAACTATTTCAGAACTGGAAAAGAGGAAAGGCAAGACCACTGCACGACCAATAGCAGCAGCACTGGTTCAGAACAGATGCAGCACACACTGTGCCAGCAGCTCAGCTCCGCGGGGCGTCCCTTTGCTCACTGTCAGCCATTACTCAGTGCAGAGGTGAAACCAACTGAAATCATTCCCCTCAATCACTGCCAGGACAACACGGAGCAGTGCTGCTGTCCCTTCCCCAGCACGAGCTGTGTGAGAAAAGAGCTGCATGGAAGAGCACTTGGGCTGCAGGGCTCCACTCAGCCCTCAGCACAGCAGAAGGGAATGCTTTGCAGTTCCTCCAGTGGCTCGTGCTTTACAGAGATCCAACACGAACTTGCTAGACAGCTGAAAGCAAAACATACACCTACATCCCTTCCGAGAGCCTGAGAATGCTGCAGGAATCCCTGGACCCGTTCCTTAGCAGCCCAACACAGCAGCTCCTCCTGCTGTCAGGCTGTGCAGGCCCTGGCCCTTAGCATGGCAGCGCAGCTCAGCCCCAGCACAGCACTCCTAGGAGCTGTGATCTGGTTGGCCCTGCACGGCTGCGTGCTGCACATCTGTCAGCACACTCCTCACACAGCTTAGGGCTGCAGAAGCATTTACCTGTCAGACTGGGCTGCTGGCACTCAGGGTTACCACTCTGTGGTCACTTTGTGGTGGTGGCACTGGGTGCACTGCAGCTATTCAGAACATAAGCACTTCATCCAAAGAGAAGTGTCACTGAGATCCCCCAGGTAGCAAAGGCCCCGAGCCAGCTGCCCTCTGCCATACTCAGCACAACACACCCTCCCACGTCGAGGGCTCAGCAAGTTTAAAACAAAACCAGAACCCACTGAAACATTACTGAAGCCCATCAAATGATATGGGGGGTAGAAACAAGGACAGCTCAAAGCCAGCTGTGCTCCTGGCTTCACCTTCAGCAGTGGAGAGGACCCTCCAGTTCGTGCAGCTCCAGTCTACAGAGAATAAATGCCTTCCTCCAGAAGAGCACCATCTGATTCCATTCCCTATTCAGTTCCCACCGGGAGAAGAAAGGCAGGGATGAGCAGGACACACTGCACACCTGCCATGCTTGCTCTTGCAACTCAGAAAGCAACTCCTGGGCTCCATCAGCAGAGGGGGGGCCAGCAGGGACAGGGAGGTGATTGTCCCTCTCTGCCCAAACTGCAGCACTGCGTCCAGGTCTGGGGCCCCCAGTACAAGAAGGACAGGGAGCTGTTGGAGAGGGTCCAGAGGAGCCACAAAGATGATCAGGGGCTGCAGCACCTCCACTACAAAGACAGGCTGAGGGAGCTGGGCTTGTTCAGCATGGAGAAGAGAAGCTGCGGGGTGAATCATTGCAGCCCTCAGGACCTAAAGGGAGCCTACAGACAGGAGGGGAGTCAGCTCTTGGGAAGGGGAGATAATAGCAGGACAAGGGGAAATGGTTGGAAGTTGAGGGAGGGCAGATTTCAGTTGGATGTGAGGGGGAAGTTGTTTGCTGTGAGAGTGGTGAGGTGCTGGAACAGCTGCCCAGAGAGGCTGTGGATGCCCCGTCCATCCCTGGAGGTGTTCAAGGCCAGGTTGGATGGGGCCCTGGGCAGCCTGGGCTGCTGTGAAATGTGGAGGTTGGTGGCCCTGCATTGGTGGGGGGTTGGAGCTTTGTGATCCTTGAGGTCCCTTCCAACCCAAGGCATTCTGTAGTTCTGTGTGACGTTTGCTGGTGCATGGGGGTATCTCCAAATCAAACACAACCAGGCAAAAGCCAAACAAGATTTCAGGCTGACCCCAGGGCTCCCACATGAACAGAAGAATCAGAAAGCCATGTGCTTGCTTCTGCCCTTCTCTGGAACGATGACAACTTTGGAAGGATCACAGAACCATTAAGTTTGGAGAAGACCTCAGAGATCCCCAAATCCAACCCCACACACCCCACCATGCCCACTGACCACATCCCCATGTGCACATTCTTGGACACCCCCTGGGATGATGACCCCAAACCCCCTGGGCAGCCTCTGCCAGTGCCTGACTGCTCTTTGGAGAAGGAATACTTCCAAACACCCAACCTGACCCTCCCCTGGCACAACACGAGGCTGTTATCTCACATCTCAGAGGGTGATGAACAGGTAAAATAGTTTCCTTCAAAGTTTGGGCTTTTTGGAAGGCAGGCTGCTTCTGGAAAATCAGGTCAAACCAACCACACATTTCCATGAGAACAGCTCCTCTCTGCCGGGGCAGCTTTGACTTCTGTGGCTCTGAAGGTCAGCTCCTTTGGAGCAGTGGAATCTCAGATAGCTGAGTGCAGCCCTGCGAGCCGGGTCTCCTCCTCCCTCATACTCTAAATTGCTTAAAAACAAAAGCATGTCAAGATGTTGTAACTACATAATCCTCATCAAAATCACAAGATGGTATTTGCATCTGGCCAGCGGATCAAAGGATTGTTTTTATATAAACAAATTTAAGGCAGCATTTGCTAAACCCATAATCTCAAGCAAATGGATGGTGCCAATGTAAGAAGCCCTAATCCGCAGCAGCGAGTCGGTGCAGCACACATGTGAGTGCAGCCACGGCAGAGCATGGCTTCACCATCAGTATGGGATGAAGGAGGGCACAGAGAGAGCTGGGGAAGGCTGGGCAGGCTGTGGGCACAGCCCTTACAGCACTCCGTGAACTGGCACCCATGTGAGCGCACAGACTTGGCTGGAGAGCTCAGATAAAAGGCATGAGTGGGAACAAAAGTGCTGGTAACAGCATCATATTGGTCAAAAGGAGATGCAAAGTCTCAAGTAATAGCTTGGGCTATTTCAATTCGTGCATTTCTGCTTCAAAATGGCTCTGGAGCAGAAGTCAAGCTCAGCACCCAGGGTCACTAAAAGGCTTACAGCTCTGCTTACTTGATGGCACTTGGTTCAGGTTTTCAACTTCTAACCTGGGGAATTAAGGAGAATTTGAATGTAAAAGGCAATAGAGGCTTGCCTGGTTTCACATTCCAGGACAGATTCGTGCGCAGGTCAGCATCTGAAGGCACAAGAGCAGAAAAACACAGCCTGCCCTGCTCAGCTCATAGAATCACAGCAAGGCTGGGTTGGAAGGGACCCCACAGCCCCCAACCCCACCCCACTAAATACTGTCTTTCTCTCATAAGAGACCAAGGTACAAAATCTAACACCACCTGCTGACTTTCTCATCCCTCTGAACAAAGGAGTACGTGGCACATCCCCTGCCCTCAGCTCTGCGTGTGACCAAACACGACTATTTTCTTCTGCAAGAAGGGTGCTTGCTCCCATTGCAGAGGAGAGGGAAGAGCTGGGGCTCAGCTGCAGTCTGTGTGCCCCCCAGAAGGGCACTGAGCTGTGCCTGCAGTACCCACAGAGCCATCTCGTGGCCGTGTGTGTGCTTGGGATGACCACAGTGCTGTCCCCAGCAAAACAAGAAACCTCCATCGCTGCTGGAGCCCTCTAAAGCCACAGCAGTGAGCTGGGCCAGTAAAGGAGTGCACGCACATGGCCGAGGCCCTGAGCAGGTGGTACAGCACAGCTCTACCTTTTCCCCAGCAGCACAAACACTGCAGAAACTCAGCACATGTCTCACCTGGAATGGGCCATCACACAGGTGCTGGGAGCTGTCACAGCCCTGGGTTCACCTTTCGGCTGGGACTCGTGTTCCCCTAAAGACCTGTTCCTTTGCACAGAGGATGCTCAGTGCACAGAGGATGCTCAGTGCACAGGAGGAGAGCCACTCTGACTCCTGCCACAGCACCCCGAGCTCAGGTGTGCACCCCACAACTCACCCCACAACTCCTGAGCCTGGGGCAGAGCCGTGCTGGGCTGCAGGCAGCCATCCCTCAATGTTATGTAAAGACCCCAGGGTTGTAAGAGGATTACCCCAGAACTTAGCAAATTATGATGCTCAGCCAGTTGTTAGAAAGAATAAAACGCTTTCTTCTTAATCTGTGCCTTTCCAGTGACATTTTTAAAATTAACTATTATTAAACCTTTGCTCTGGGATGCATCTCAGTGGCCACACAATGCTCTGCACCTCCTCCTCCTCTCCACCTCTTTGCACTCCAAGTCAAACAACCCAAGTCCCAGCTTAAACTTACCTAACCTGGCTCATGGCTTTAGAAACAGAGTGCAACAAACCCAAAATAGCTGGAGCCTGCCAGGCTGTGTGATGAAACCTCTCCTGACTGGGGAAGGGCAGCAGACAGTGCGCTGTCTGAACACATTTGTGCCTTCAACATCAATAAATGAACGGGCAGGGGCTGAGTGCCTGCTGTGGGAGCTGCTGTGCTCTGCCAGGAGCTTGGGGCTCTTTGCAGCAGGATGAGGGCAGGGAGCAGAACTCACTGTGCCTCCCCAGGGCTGTGCTGGGGCTCCTGGGCAGACAGCTCGTGTGGTGTGGGCTCAGAATAGGAGCATGCAGCTTCACAGCTTCTTTATAGCAATCAGAAACAGGCAGAGAGGCTCCAGGAGAAATACATATCTTGATCACTTTGGGGGAAAAACTGATCAGACTAATTAAGACATAAAAGATGAAATGCTAGACTAGCTTGCAGTAAGTGACACCATTTGAAGGTGTGGAGCAACAATCCTCACCCTCCTTGCATGAGGTACAGAGCTGGAAAGCAAAATCACATCCAGTCCACTTGGGCAAGCATGCTCTCTGGTCTCTTTAGTTACTGTCTCATTTTGATCTTGCCAAAGATGTAGATAATGCTCATAATTGTGCTGCAACTATCCCAAAAAAGGGAAAAATGAACTCTCCGGAGCAAGACCAGATGCAGAATGGTGTTCCCATCACCCCACAGGAGCACACAGCTCTGCCCAGGCACACACACACGGGAGGAATGGGGCTTCCAAAGCTGGGAATGGGTATTTCAAACACATGTTGTGTTGAGATGCTAACAGTAACTGAAAAAATCTGGTGCTGAGATATTGCAGGATCTGCTACTTGCAGCACAAAGAATTGTTTTAAAACATCCTTATGCCATATGCAAAAAAATTAACAATTGTGTTTCTCTACTCCCCTTTCTGCAGTGCTAAAACATAAATACCTGTCACTACAGTTCCTATAATTGAATGGGATAACATGCATCTGAATAGAGCAAAGCTCCATGGCTTACAGCCTCCTTGCCCACTTCCTTCCTTCCCCATTGTTTGTTCCAATTTAATGAAGTGTTTTAGGTGGAAAATCCTGAGCAGTACTTTCTGTATTGCAGGACACCTGGCTTGCTTCTAAACAAAACAACCCAGTGCTCCAAAACAGAGCATGTTCCCTTTGTGTGATTCCCCACCCCATAGCCCTGCAGTCCTCATTTCTGTGATAGGTGTTAATTACAGTTCTCCTGCACATCCCACTTCCATCCACATTAATGAGCATTAAGATTAAGGCAAAGAAAAAGCCAAAAACTTTCTTCTGCAGGAACCCACCAGGTCACCCCTCCAGGAGGAATGAGAATTTTTTTTAATGTAGCAAAAACAAAAGTCAAAGGTAACCAGCCTCAATCTGAGGGGGAACAAAGAACCCAAGTATGTATTCATAGAATCACAGAACGGGCTGGGTTGCAAAGGAGCACAATGCTCATCCAGTTCCAACCCCCTGCTGTGTGCAGGTCACCAACCAGCAGCCCAGGCTGCCCAGAGCCACATCCAGCCTGGCCTTGAATGCCTGCAGGGATGGGGCATCCACAGCCTCCTTGGGCAACCTGTTCCAGTGCCTCACCACCCTCTGGCTGAAAAACTTCCTCCTCATATCCAACCTAAACCTCCCCTGTCTCACTTTAAAACCATTCTCCCTTGTCCTGTCACCATCCGCTCACAAACAGCCATTCCCCCTCCTGTTTATATGCTCCCTTCAAGCACTGGAAGGCCACAATGAGGTCACCCCACAGCCTTCTCTTCTCCAAGCTCAGCAATCCCAGTTCCCTCAACCTTTCCTCATAGGAGAGCTGCTCCAGCCCCCTGATCATCTCAGTGGCTTCCTCTGGACCCGCTCCAAGAGCTCCACGTCCTTCTTGTGCTGGATGAATTGAGAAGCACTAGAAAGGACCCCCTCACATCTCACTGCTTTCCTTTTCACTCAGCCAGGGTCTGTTTAAACTCTCCACCATCTCAGTTTTTGACGGAGCTGCAATGCCAATGAACGTGAGCATGCAGTGCACACAGCCCCAGCAGCAGATGGAGCTGTGGGTGCCCCTGGTCACTGCAGGGAGGTGGACCTGAGAGATTCAGAGCTCCCCTCCAACAGTTCTGTGGCTCTAAATCAAAAGCAGCAGATCCTTGGACTGCTGGACAAAGAAAGCTTCAGCTGTGGGCTTCAGCCTCAGCTGCCCAGTACACAGCATGGGCCTATGAAGGTGCACACCTCAGCAGCAGCAGGCTATGGACGCTCCATATGGGGTTATCAAACCACGTGCTGTTCTGGGATGGGAAGCACTGTATGTATGACAGCAGTGTGGCACTCACACCCCTCGAATTGTGCTTCCTCTAAAAAGCTCCAGCCCGCAAATCATTATAATAAGTAACAGCATCTTGTGCTGAGTAGGAACGATTCTACAGGCTGCAGAACAGAAGGCAGAGCAGAAGAATCTGAGCTCCATCCTTAGCACTTAAAATAACTGGCTCAAGTCTAAAACCAGTAACATCTACAGACATTTTGTAGTAGGCCCAGCAAAATCACAGTGAGAAGAGTGCCCTGCAGTGCTGAGTGCAGCAGGTTTGCTCTTGTACTTCAGACACTTACGTTCCACCTGAATGCTGTCAGCATGGGCTTTGCTTTTTGGTTCCTGGCTCCCAGCATCGTCATCGTCCAGCAGAGGCACATAGTCTGTTTTATCCACCGTCTCTCCAACCACGTCGTCAAATTTCTCTGCTTCCAGCGTGGCAATGAAGTCCCGTTTCACCTCCTCCTCAATCTCAGGAGGTGGCTCTGTCAGAGCATCCGCAAGGCTGAGGCTGTGATCCAAGTCAGCCATGGTTTAGCACCTTCGCAACCTGTAACATTGTTTGGGGAAGAAGAAAAAGAAACAAGTGTTTTAGTAAGGGACACTGTAAGCTCAGAGTTTGGCTGGCACAAGAAATAACGTTTGTTTCAGTGCTCAATAATCCCCAGATGTTCACAGAACCCCCATCACAGTACAGAACCAAAGCAAAAACCTTCACCACCCCAGTCAGGTTGTACCACGTGAATCCTGCTACGTACCACGGGATGTTTCATCACAACCTCACACTAAATCATGGAACTAAATGGAAGGGCAATACCTGGCCTGCACAAACAGCCCTACATCGATTTGTGCCCTGCCTCAGATCTGTGAGCTAATTACAGATCCTCAGCAGCAGACACACAAGTGTGACGCACACAAATTTAGTTCTTGGTCGGCCTCCACCCAGTCTCCCCTTTGGAGATTAGGGTTTTACGTAACCTGATGGATACTCCAGCAATGCTTTTGATCCAGCAGAGCATTTATGTCCTCAGCAAACCTTGCTAATGCCAACAAACCCATCCTAACCCTGGGATTTGGACTGGAAGGTAAAACTTTTAATAATGTTTACATGGAACAAAAAATAGAGTGCAGCACAGATACACATCACACACAACACTACAAACTGGGAACACGAGGCAGGAAGAGCCACCATTCATCTTATCCTCCCCAGCCTATAGCTCAGTAGTGAATTTAAGTTCCTCACAACAGACAGACACCGAGAGCCACTGAGTTACACGAGGAGAAAGCAGTAGTGGAGTTGCAGACATAAAATCATATCACAGAATCATAATCACAGAATGGCCTGGGTTGCAAAGGAGCACAATGCTGATTCAGTTCCAACCCCCTGCTGTGTGCAGGTCGCCAACCAGCAGCCCAGGCTGCCCAGAGCCACATCCAGCCTGGCCTTGAATGCCTGCAGGGATGGGGCATCCACAGCTCCTTGGGCAACCTGGATTACTGCTGTACCCATTGCTGTAAGCACCATACTGGGGTCCCACACCAACAAAACCCATCCAAACCTGAAACTTTATGTCAATGGCATTTAGGGAAACCTCTTGTTAACCTCATTCCAAATAATCATAAGCAAAAGGCAGCTGGGTGCAATGACTGCAATCAGCTCACACATCCACATCCATAAACGTTCCTGCTACTTTAATTCCAAGCACAGGAGGGGCCTTGACAACTTAATTTAGGGTCTGTCCAAACAGCAAGTCATCACCATCCTCCCACTCTACTGGAAACCATTGCCCAACCACCCCATAGAGAAGCCCTTCAGCACTGAGCATCCCCTCCCAGTGCAATCAGTGTCCAGGTGGGCGTCCTCAGCCAGGTTCAGAACTCATAAAACGTGCATTGCCATAACCCTGCAGGCAGAGAAGGCTTATCAATGGTATTCAGATGGCCTAGAAATTACTTAGCTGTTGCTCCATTGAGATATTCTGTCATCGTTCCTTTGGCCTTCCACTCAGCCTGGAGAAGAGAA